ACAAAAAATTGTGATTTTGAATGCACGTATTTGTTATTGACTGCACTCTACCATATTGAATCCCATCAAATTACTAAATCCGCTACAGCATTCCATCTACTCTGATAACATTTACAGAACCACACAATTGTGTCACCCTTCTGCATTTGGGAGCGTAGCCAGCTGCCATAATAAAACAACCAACTCAATTCACATTGGTGTTGTTTTTACAGAGACAGTTACAAGTAAACCAAAGATTTGGGTTATAAAAGCCAAATGTACACTTGTAACTGATCTAATGCTGGTAAACAAGTGTTTGTTGCCCTCTGTCTAATATTCTGACAAGGTCGTATTTCAGGAGAGTTAGACACTCGTAACAAAGTCTGAGAATGACACAGTTGTATGACCCTGCCAAGCAGGGCTGCCATCAGAAATTTTGGGGCCCCTGACACAGCCCAAAGTGCTGCCCCCCCCGAGTCCGCCCACAGGCATGCAGTGTCTGTACTGATTCTGGTGTGTATAGTGGATGTAGAATGTGTGTAGTGGATGCAGAGTTTGTGTGTTAAGTGGATGCCGTGTGTGTTTAACGGATGCAGTGTGTATAGTGGATTCAGATTGTACATTTGTGTAATGTATGAGGTGTATATTAGATGCAGAGTGTGTGTGTAGTGGATGTAGTGTGTGTTTATAGTGAATGCAGAGTGTGTATGTGTGTTTGTGTAGTGGATGTAGTGTTTGTGTGTATTAAATGCGATGTGTATAGTGAATGCAGAGTGTGTGTTTGTGTAGTGGATGTAGTGTGTGTGTGTAGTGAATGCAGAGTGTGTGTAGTGGATGTAGTGTTTAGTGTATAACATGTGTGGATGCAGAGTGTGTCTTTGTGTAGTCGATGTAGTGTATGTACAGTGACTACATAGTGTGTGTTTGTGTAAGTATTTAATGTGTGTATAGTGACTGCAGACTGTGTGTTTGTGTAGTGGATGTAGTGTGTGTAGTGACTACAAAGTGTGTGTTTGTGTAGGTACTGCAGAGTGTGTGTTTGTGTTAGGAAGTAGTGTGTGTAGTGACTGCAGAGTGTGTGTGTGTGTTTGTGTAGTGACTCCAGAGTGTGTGTTTGTGTAAGGATGTAGTGTGTGTAAATGTTAGTGAATATTGTGTGTATATGTTAGTGTATAGTTTGTATAAATGTTAGTGAATAGTGTGTGTAAATGCTAGTGTATACTGTGTGTAAATGTTAGAGTATAGTGTGTGTAAATGTTAGTGAATAGTGTGTGTAAATGTTAGTGAATAGTGTGTGTAAATGTATGGGGCTGCAAAATGTGGGAGGGAAAAGCCTACATTTTTTTTTCCATCCATTAATTTTATTGTTTTATTCCCCCCTCCCTGTATCTCACCTGTGGCCATGGAGGGGGGAGATCACATTGGCTGGAGCCCTGGAGCCGGAGGTCCTGAGGAATGGTGCAGCCCCCGCTACCTGTATTCTGCAAGGGGCCCAGCACACTTGAAATATACTGCCCAGATGCTCTGCTCTGTCGAAGTATCGCGAGCCGTGCAGAGCGTTGTCATGGTAATGCTCTGAAGATCACGTCGCTCGCGAGACTTCGACAAAGCAGAGCATCTGGGCAGTATATTTCAAGTGTGCTGGACCCCCTGCAGAATACTGGTAGCTGGGGGCCCGCAGTGCACACATATATAGCGTTAATCTAATGCTAATGTGGGCAGTGGCATACATACAACCCATGGGGCCCCGGTGGGAAAACTGATCCGTGGGCCCCCCCCACGCACGCTTACTCTGCGCGGGCTGGGGCCGCAACACATGGTGGCGGGCACCTGGTCGCAGGGCTGCGACCCCTGCGACTGCGGTATGTACGCCAGTGCATGCAGATACACTTAAAGGACCACTACAGACACCCAGATCACATCAGCTCAATGAAGTGGTCTGGGTGCTAGGTCCCTCTAGTTTTAACCCTGCAGCTGAAAACATAGCAGTTTCGGAGAAACTGTATGGGGGGCCCTGAGGTGACCAGCTTCTGGGCCCCCCAGGAGAAGAGGCTGGCCACAGTGGCAGTCCGGGCCCCCCAGGACCACCGGGCCCATGACAACCGTTATGGTTGTCATGCCCTGATGGCGGCCCTGCTGCCAAGAGAAGTGCCTGTAATCGGCAGATCACTAAACGGCAAGGCTTGCAAAACCACCTTAGGGATCGCTGCATTCTTTTCTTATTAAGAAAACAAGAGTAGCACCGTCAGCGATACTTTAACATACAAAGCACAGTTCTAATTTAGATGGCACTAGATTTACTGATTGTACATATTTAAATAAAATAAATAAATCTAGGCCATATTTGGTTAGATACACAAACTTGTTTTCTTTTGAAATAACTTGTGTGAATTAAAGGACCATTCTAGGCACCCAGACCACTTCAGCTTAATGAAGTGGTCTGGGTGCCAGGTCCAGCTAGGGTTAACCCATTTTTTCATAAACATAGCAGTTTCAGAGAAACTGCTATGTTATGAATGGGTTAAGCCTTCCCCCTAATCCTCTAGTGGCTGTCTCATTGACAGCCACTAGAGGCGCTTGCGTGCTTCTCACTGTGATTTTCACAGTGAGAGCACGCCAGCGTCCATAGGAAAGCATTATGAATGCTTTCCTATGTGACCAGCTGAATGCGCGCGCAGCTCTTGCCTCGCGTGCGCATTCAGCCGACGGGGAGGAGAAGAGGAGGATCGGAGGAGGACAGCTCTCCGCCCAGCTCTGGAAAAAGGTACGTTTTAACCCCTTTCCCCCTTCCAGAGCCGGGCGGGAGTGGGACCCTGAGGGTGGGGGCACCCTCAGGGCACTATAGTGACAGGAAAACAAGTATGTTTTCCTGGCACTATAGTGGTCCTTTAATAAAAAATGGTACAATATATAATCCATTCATTTTGCTTTGACTTTTGACATCATTTTTACTGATGAAGAATAAAATGATGTAATTTGCTTTAAAATGTGTTTTATGAAATATGCATGTATGTTTATGAATCTGTCACTGGTGGCGGTACGGAAACCGGGACCCTTGAGTGCCTGATGAGAAGTTGGGAGTCTTCAGCGTGGAAGTGGATTAGCAGGGTAACAACACGCCTCTCGGTGTTGAGCACCAGCGTTTGTGCGGCAGAAGCCAGAGCAGATGAATGCTGAAATGTATCCAGTACTAGAAACAAGGCTAGAATAGGCACCAGACAAGAAAACAAGACAAAACTAGGAGAACCCAGAACCAGAGAAGGATAGAAAGCTAAACCCAGAACATGTACAAACTTGGTAGCTTTATGTGGGATTGGCATGTTTAGTGATATCAAAATGGAGAGCTATCTACTAAACAAAGCGCCCTCTCTAATTTGGTATCCTTAAATATGGCAATCCTACATGAGGGTGCCACTTTTATTTAGGGAGTTATTTATTTATTTTTCTTCAAAATTCTTTATTTTGACTTTAAAGGTGTCAATTTTGTAAAGGAAATACAGAAATAAGAACAAAGTGTGGGGAGGTTAGACCTTACACAATCCAAAAAGAACACAGGTTGTATATTCTTGTCAAACATGGAGGATCAGCCGTGGTACCTTCACGGGGCTGTGGGTTGCACCATGACAGATTGACGTGGAGATGAAAGGGTAGTTCTGAAAACCAATACTTTGACTTGTGTGTTGCTAATGGGCCCCTAGGGGCAAGGCGTTCGTCAAAAGTAGTGTAGTGATTAGGTCTCTGTCTTGTGTAGGGGATGTTTCCCCTAACCTGTGCTTCATTGGAGGTCTAGTGGTGTTAATGTCAGGGAGAGCTATGTTAGTGGAGGTTTGTGCTATTCCCGTGTAGGTTCATAGATGTCTTGTGCATGTGTTCCTGGTAGTCTTTTTCCATCTTGTTGGATTGGCAAAGGACAAAGTAGATTTAAGGGGGTGTGAGAAGAGAAAAAGCAGAAATTGGGGAAGGGTAGTTCGGGCGCCAGCCTCCCTTCCCCTCGCATGGGTGGATGGGGAAATGAGGAGGAAAGAGGAGGGAGAGGGGTGTGTGGTGTATGGGCAGGGTGTGCTGAGAGTTCAACTGGCTGGTACAAGAGCAGGGTCTAGTTGTGTGGGGTGGTTACCTTGGTAGGGATGTGTTAACTTCAATCCATGGCTCCCACAATTTGTGAAAGGTGTTCGCGGTGTCTCTGACCTCCGTTGTTAGTTTGTCTAAGTCAAGGCTGTCTTGAATCTTGTTGTATATCGTCTGGCTGGATTTTCTGGGATGCCCAGAGTTCCCCAATGGCCCTGCGAGTTATCTATTAAACAGCATCAATGTCAAAATTCAGAAAAGCTCTTTTCTTTATTTTGATCTAACAGCTGCTTAGTAGATAGCTCCCTCATTTGAAATCTTTATGTAGGATTGACATATTTAAGGAATACAAAATAGGGAGCTATTTAGTAAACACAGTTCGCTCCCTAATTTGGTGCCAAAGAAAGGTACCAAATTAGGAACTTATCTACTTTCTTTCCCACTGGGGACTCTGGAATACTTCAGCCTCAGTTGCCAAAGCTTGACTCCCAGGAACTCTTCCACCAGACCAGGCTGTAGCTCTCTTCTTCCAGGCAGGTATCGTCCCCTCTCCACTCCCAGACAGGTATTAACACCTCCGCCTAGACTGTTATCAGCTACTGCATTTACTAAGGCACTTGTGGCTCTCAGGCCTAGATCACTTTTTGACTCGTCCCAGGATCCAAAGAACAAGCAGGCAGCCAAAAGTTTTGAAGACTCTATTACTTGGATCCCTGAACAAATCAACCAGTACACACGGTTCCAAAAGGAACTAACACACACAGCTTTATTTTGGACAAAATAAACCTTTGGGAACTACTCCTTAAATACATAGTGACAAACTTTTAAAATACAAATATAAAGAACATAGGAGAAAGAGCATTTATAATTAATGAACTATATAATACAAGTAACATTTTCAAACACAAGAAAAAGCAATAATACATACACCTAACTACGTATTTGGTGGCCCTAATTAGCATACCAGCATTATGTAAATGTACACACTTCCATTCAGTCAGCAGAGGGCGCTGCAGAGTTATCAAGTAACAATGAATAGTTTGCTTTTTAATTGCTACCATCATAGCCCCTTTCAGGGATAAGGTCCATAGTCTTCCTAACACTATATTATCCTCTGACCCCACCCCCACTCATGTGGCAATTAAAGGGTTAGCAACCCTTTAAACACTTACCCGATTCCAGCACATGCATTGGGCCTTTCCTATGGGAGATTTGAAAATACTGGACATCCTCATGCAAAGTGTGAGAATGCCCAGCATCATTTCACAAAGTTAAACTGCGTGAAACAGCAGGAGGTTCCTTTACTGTCTGGTCTTAACACTGCAATATAAACATTGCAGTTTCTCTAAAACTCTGTAAATCTAAAGAGATTGGGACACTGCACCCAGACCTCTTCAATGAGACGAAGTGGTCTGGCTCCCTATAGTGTCCCTTTACTTTTCAAAAAGGAACAGATACAGCTAGCATTTTCCAGATTCATACGTGGTGGCTACAGTGAGATTTTTACGTAAAGAATACGTGGGGCTTTGGGCGTATAATGATTAACTCTAGGCTGCAGAACAGATGTGTGGGGCGTCGATAATAAAAAAGAGAATATCAACGGTAATCTTTTTTACAGTGACTGCAGTTCTAAAGTAAAATAAAGATTACTCTGGTGACTGAGTTAAGAACCGCTGGAAGAGGATAGATATAGGAGTCACATAAGCCAATAGGTAGGTTGTTACAGAAGTAAAAAGTGTTGAGTGCATGCAGACAAACACATTTACTGCTACAAAGGTAGAAACCGCAATTTCATGTATTAAACTATTCACAAATCATTTAAAAAAAAAATGTGATTTGAATTTAGGTCATTTCACTGATACATTTATGAATTGAAATCTTCAGGAAAGCTAGTATGTCCAATTGTCTATCCATTTCTTAAAAGCTGTTATTTGTTTGAAGGTATTTTTGTATGTTTTATTTTGTGCTTGGAAAATATTTTTTTTCCCTAAATATCTGGCAAAAAAAATTTCAGAAATATTTCTGTGAATCCATTTAACATAAATACATTCACCAACAGGCCGGGCAATTACATTTAAAATTAATGATAAAGAAGTCAATAGCTGATTTCCTTTTTTTGACTAATTTACTTCCCTGTAAGAGGTTTACGCTTTGTCCCAGGGTAATGAAGTAGGGGGACTAAGTTGAACAATCCAATAAGTGGTTCCACTCAAATGCAATGAATAGCAATAGCTGACCAGCCTGGGTAAAAGGGCAGCAATTAGTTTTCAGTAAAGGGTTTGTGTAACACTTCAGAAGTCTTAATCCCGATTCCGTACTTCAGCCCATTTTCTGCTAAAGCCTATTCAGTCTCTTTAATGACACTGCAAAGACACCATTTTCAATACTTTCCAGGGCAGTTTCACATGCTTTTAATAGCATGGTCTATATGGTATTGTGAGGCCGCAGAAAAGATCCCTACTAAGATATAAGTGTTGCTTCTATTCTCAAGCTGTTTGGAAGCTGGACTCTGGGATTTTACATATGAATGGAATTGTGTCTGAATGCGGTCACTCAGCTGATAAATAGGATCACTATCTAAATTCCAGGGTCTTATAGGCACTTGGGAAACTTTAAAAGAGTTGGAGGAGAATAATTTGGTTGGATGTCTTTACCTAGGAACAAAACGTGAAAGCGGAACACAGTCCATCACTCGGGGACGTCAGCAAATGTGACAACAAGGCACATTGTAGTTGACATCCCACACTCAGAGGGTCATAGACCACAGGGCACAGGGACCTCGCTGAGTAATCTATCCCCATTGTGGGACTGCACATGTTTTCATGAAGTATTCAAATGAAACATTAAGAAATTGGTAGTGAACATGCGGCGAGAACAAGGTTAGTTTAATAGTTAAACTATTACTTGCACTTGTACTCTTACATAGTATAGTAGCTTCTGGAAGAAGTCACCCTTCACGTAATGTTCTCTTGACTTCGTGTACCCACCTTGAACAAAGACATAATAAAATGATTGGTTTCTTTCCTTCTTATGTGAAATTTGAAATAACAGTGCATTGCAGGACACCTTGCGTCGTCTGTGTGAATATATCAGACCGGACGGAATTAAAGAATAAACTATGACCTTGATTTAATATTGTTGCATAAGCTTTTGAAATGATTTCATATTTTTGAATAAACTTTTAAAATAATGTTTACATAATATTTAAATATATAAAAAAAAATCATATATAAGAAAAGAAATCTATATATTAAAATATCAACATGTTACAAATTAAAATATTTTTCACAACATTAGATCATTTTAAAAGTGTATCCACAAATATTAAATCATATGAAAATCTTATCCGACAATATTAAATCATGGCCTATATTTGTTAAACTCTTTGTTGCCAATACTTTTCCAGAATGAAACTGGCATAGGCTTTCTTAAACCATGGGAACCTGTTGTTCACAGAATTTAAATCATTGTACATTAGGGGTATTTGCAATATATCGAATGATATTTATTGTCTAGATTGCATTCTAAAAAAAATGATTTTAGATTATTCACTATATACCAAATTATAGGGAACTAAAAAGCGAGCTGTAAAATGTAGGCCAAAGCAGCAAAACCGTGACTAGCCAATTTTAAAAAAAAATTCCACATCATATATTTTCACCTAAATTTTGCAATTTGGATTTCACTTCATTACTATTCAGTTTAGTAAATTAACCCATTTAAGAGTTACTCTAACCATACAACAGCGTTTTCATATACACTAAAACGTACTTCTGTTCCAGCATGAGGCCAAGTTCTCCCATCAGCCTCGTCCTCCTTGACTGATGTCATTCCCTCTCACCATAGGTGGTGTAGGGGAAGGACAGGCTATGGGCAGCACAGAGTGGAGGCTTGCCGTCATTAGACATCTGTCGCCAACATGCTGTGAGTGCTAGCGTCAGATTTTCAATATGCAAAGAATTCATACTAGCCAGCATGGAAATCTTGTTCCCCGGTTGGCTTTTGACACCTCAATAATGCTGCTAGAGGTGGAGTTACACCTCTAACAGCAAAGACGTTAAACTCTGCATGTGCAGCGTTTCATAGTGGAACGCTGTGCAATCAGACTCAAGGCACCATAACCATTTCACAGCGCTGAAGTTGTCATGGTGCTCGGAGTAATTCTTAAATGTACTGACATCACAATTTGCCTTGTTTACTCACTGTATGCAGTCACATCTAATTGCATTTTGTGAAATGCAATTTAAAAAAAAAATAGAACATCTGCTGAAGGCAAAATGCTCACATGGACAGTCAAGTACATTCACTTGACTCACAAGTTCAATTACGGTAATGCTTTTTTTTTCAGTTGAAGAAGAACCTATTATTTTGTTAATTATTCTTTTTAACCTCACATTTTGCTTTGTGGTGGAAAAAAATAAAAGAAGAAAATATGAAGAATAAAAAGTTAGTTATAAAATATGTAAAAATTAATAAATCTAAAATTGATAAAATAAAACACCCTGTCAACTACATTGTTCTCTGCATAGCAGAATGTCTATTGTTGCTGCTGTCCTCCTCCTGTTCACTTCTGTAACTTATTTTTTTTATTATCTGACACTCTCAAAATATCCTCAAACACAATTAACAAGCAGACTTCGTAGTACATGTAACATTTAATGGATCAATTGATTTCATGTCATACGCGCCCTTTATTTTGCAGCAACTATATCAGATTCCTGTCTTGGAATGAACAATTTTTTTTTTACACATGACAGGCAACCTCAGTGACTGTGTACTATGTGTACGTTTCTGATCAGTAAACCATGGATTGACTAGGCTTCATGGGAGTTGTAACCCACCGCAAGAGTAGTGATAAATGATACCTAATGCCGAGGGTGCTTGATGAGTAGTCCAGATAAATTGTAATGCTATTGGTTGTCTTTGCCCTTAGATAAGCACTTCAGTTGCATGCTTATCAATAATGGACACATTTCCATGCCTTTTCAAATCATTGGGGACTAACTATTAAATGCCAAATTGGCTGTCGGTGTTGATACCCATTACCGTCTTTTTCCATGCTTGTAAAATTTTTAATTTAATGACTGGTAATTAGTGACTGCCAAAAGTTTTAATGTCCCTGGTAGAGGTTAATAGGAGTTGCTAAACACTAACACTCCCCGTTTCTTACCTGGTCCAGGAAGGGGGGAAGATTCCATGATCCAAGGTGGTCCGATGGCATGGTGGGGCCCCCAGCTCTCTGTATTTGCAGAGGGGGCCCAGCGGACTGCAGGAGCACTTTACAGATCTTCCCTGTCTCTAACTCCCGCGAGACGTCCGGGTTACCATGGCAACGCTCTGCGCGGCACGCACACCACATCTCGCAGGAGTTAGAGAGAAGAAAAGAAGAGCTGTAATGTACTCCTGCAGTCCGCTGGGCCGCCTCTGCAAATACAGAGAGCTGGGGGCCCCACCATGCCACCGGACCACCAGGGATCATGGAATCTTCCCCCCTTCCCTGGACCAGGTAAGAAACAGGGAGGGGGGAATAACTTTCATTACATTACATGCATACACTAGTAAACACACACTCTGCATTCATTACACTGATACACACTCTGCATTCATTACACTAACACACACTCTGCATTGATTACACTAACACACACACTGCATTCACTACACTAACACACACTCTGCATTTACTACACCAACACACACTCTGCATTCACTACACTAACACACACTCTGCATCCACTACACTGACACACACTCTGCATTCATTACACTAACACACACTCTGCATTCACTACACTGACACACACTCTGCATTCATTACCCTAACACACACACACTGCATTCACTGCACTAACACACACTCTGCATTCACTACACTGACACACACACCCTGCATCCACTACACTGACACACACTGCATTCACTACACTGACACACACTCTGCATTCATTACCCTAACACACACACACTCTGCATTCACTACACTGACATACACACTCTGCATCCACTACACTGACACACACTGCATTCACTACACTGACATACACTCTGCATTCACTACACTAACACACACTCTGCATCCACTCCACTGACACACACATTGCATCCACTCCACTGACACACTCTGCATCCACTCCACTGACAAACACTCTGCATTGGCTACACTGACACACACTCTGCATTAACCAAACACACAGCATCCACTACACAAACATCTTGTATTCACAGTACACACACTACATCCACCATACATTCAAACATTCTGCATTCACTATACAGAGACACTGCGTCTAATACACACTACATCCACTACAGACACTGCATCCACTAAACACATTGCATCTAGTACACACAAAAACTACATCCACTACACAAACACACACTACATCCACTACTCAAACACACTCTGCATTCACTAAACACACTGCATCCGCTACACAAACACACACTCTGCATTCACTGCACAAACGGTATCTAATACACACAAACACTACATGCATTACACACATTCTAATTCACTTCCACTATACACACCACATTCAGTCCAGCATCATTGTCAGCGGACTAGGTAGGAGTCCTGTGGGAGGGCCGGGCTAGCCGGGTGGGCCGAGGGAAGGGGGTGGGGGTGAGGGGCCCAGACCTTGTGCTTTGTCAGGGGCCCCAAAATGTCTGGTGGCGGCCCTGATCCCACACATGAGGCTGTTAACAAAGGAGGAAATACTCAGAAGGCTATTAACAGACAGGAGAAAAGACATTCTAGATTGAACAGACTGTGCAATATTGGAACCTAGAATATTTAGGTTCTTTTACAGGAAGTGTTTAGGAAGGTTATGCAAGTCACAGGCAGGGAGGTGTGACTAGGGCTATATAAACAAAGTGATATAACTTCTAAATGGCAGAGAATTGAGCAGAGAGATTGCAGGGACATGATCTATATACCAAATCTGCTCCACAAAGCTAAAATAGTTTTAAATGTACTTTAGCTCTTTAAATGACCATACAATTCTAATATAAATGAGCTTAATCCTAATATAATCCAGCCTCTGTTGATCTTTTTTCCCTCCTCAGCCAAAAGGAGATACTATTTCCTGCTTGCTCTCTCCATTGCCAGATCAACCTAATTTTTCTCAACACAGATAGCAACACTGATAAGCAAGATATAAATAGGTGTTGGACTGCAGTATGTAAAGTAAAATAATCCACTGGCCAGTTACAGAGTTTTATTCGGCCCCGTATGAGTTGCTTGCACAGCAAACATACGATCTCAACAGAAGAGAAAGTTTGTGTATCGCAGAATCCCTAACACAAAGCTCCTCTAATTTATTGGCCACTTGGCAGAACCTTTGTCAACACTGAATATCTTCATTTTGTTGGTCATTTGGCAGAACCTTTGTTAACACTGAATATCTTAATTTTGCTCTGTAGAAACTCATATATATTGAATGAAAAGGGAGTCATTTATAAAATGGTGACTGTTTCATTGGTGACTGCTCCTCATTTAGACATTTCCTAAAAGCTCATTTTTATTTGACCCTCAAATGTAACATCTTCAGGGTCCATACACGGAACAAAATGCTCTTTCTAATTTCCTTCTCCAGTGAGCACTTTGTTGCACAGTACCAAGGAGACCACAAGTTAAAACACAGCTCTGTGTTCTTATTCTAACCAGGTTGCCTGAGAAATATTATCATATTCTATATAACTGTTACTGTCCCTTTAATCGTTTAAAAAAAAAAAAACAACTAAAAATGCTTTACCCATGATGCAATGAACACCGATGTTTAACCAACATCAACTCTTTTGTGTCTCAATGGGAAAAAATATTGAAATTGTATATTTGAATGGTATTTACAAGCATTTCAAAATCTCCCTCTCTCGTAAGGAGATTACTTATTGTTATTCTATAACAGCTTTATTTTTACTTTACTCATTTTTACAAGGTGGACGCTTTTCTCCTTTTTCACTCACTTTTTGGAGTGATTGTATTTCAAAGTAGTTTTATTGACCAGACAAGAGCTTTTGTTTTTCTGCTATGACTTGTCTCCTGAAAGGCAGCTCTGTACGGCACCAGCTTTAGAATGTTTTTTTTATTTTTGTTTCAAAGACACAAATATGTTCTGGTTTTTGTTGGTTTGCAGATAAGTAACAAGGAGATGGGTTAAGAAACACAACCTTCTTGGATGTTCTGCCAAAATTACCAATGTTTCTTTTGAGCACATTACGAAAGGTCAGCTTTAACCTTGTTAGAACATGTAAATTGATCTTGAGTGGATCTTTCAGAAATACATTAGCTTTTAGGTTTATATTGGCAGACTCAACCTTTTGTGAATTGTATCGTTGTAAAACTAGAGGAGTATTTCTGTTATGTCTAATTAGGGTTACTAGGTCAGCCATGTCATACATAACAGATATGGTCATGAGAGATCAACGGTAATATGCAATCTTGCATTTGTTTACAATAATGTTTTTTCTTGACTAAGAGTGACATTTACCCGTGGTGGATATCATTTTGGAAACACTTCTAAATAATTAATTTATTACTTTACTAAAATATCACATAAATTACACTTAGTTCTGGATAGATGTGTTCCAGTACCAGCCTAAATCTGTGGGTTTTAAATGGTTCCTCCTTGGCACTCATATTCAGTATCAAACTAAGAGTGATCTAGCTTGGGTAAAATCCATGAGTGGGAGCACACAGGGCCCCCTCCCCACAAACGTATTAATCGTAAAGTGACGTAGCAGGATGGTGAAATGATCGACGTGATCTTCTGATTGGTCTGTCACTGGTACTCCAAGCATTGCACAGGTAAGTGGAGGGCGCAGGGATTGAATGCCATATTCTACCTCTGTGACCACTCACACTGCATGCCACTTGATGCCTCATTCATAGACCGAGCAGAGCTAAATGCAGATCATCAGCTGTGGACTTGCTTGGCCACATTGGTAATATTGGGAAGACAGGACGTAGTGGGTGTTGGGTCAGGTGGTTTAGGAGAGACACAGAAGTGGTTATGGGTTGTTGGAGCAATGGAGAGACACACAAGGGAGTAAGTGAAATCAGGAGATACTCACATGGGGTAAAGGGCCAGGAGATACACAAGTGTGATGGCAGCTGGAAAGTAGACATAAGGGAATGAGGGGGTGCAAAAAGACACAAAGAAGGCAAAACACTCAAAACAGTTTACCAGTCTTGGGGGGTGCCAACAGACAATTTTGCCCTGGGTGCCACATAACCTAAGTACGCTCTGCTCATATTCACAGTTAATGTTTTGATTATTTTCCATCACCTCATCATATGTGGATGCCCACGCCAGACTTTTCTAATTTTCTATCACCGATACTGTTTTAACATGAATACAATCTGAAACCTGCTGTTATGCATTAATCGAGCAGTGATAGAATGTAATGTTAAGAAATTAAAGGGGCTTTTCAGACCTCTAAAGCACTTAAACTTGCTGGATAACTTTATGTGTGACGAGTGTGTCCTCTTTATTTTTGCAAGAAGTGCAGATTTCAATAGAAATTGACAATTTTATAAATAACAACTAGGTTGCAGAGATTTGATTGTTTTGTGAGAGAATGGGGTCTCTCTGTACACAGTATTTAGGGCATCATGACCTGCTAAGGTCCATGCTCAATTTAGAGACTAAAATGTATGTTTGTGATTCACCTGCACTTGACTCAAATAAGCCAGAAGCCTGTCAAGTCATTTTCTGTTTAATATAGGCCACAATTTAATATTTTTGGATAAACTGATTTTTTTTGAAAAAAAATATTATTTAAAAATATTCAAAATATATCGTATAAAAAAAATTAAAATATTTTTCAGAATTTTAAATTTAATTAAATTTGTTTTTTAAATTTAATTTAAAATGTTTGTCACAAAATATTAAATAATTTGAGAAGCTTATTCAAAAATAAAATAAAAATGGAACAGAACCATAGCCTTTGCATACTGAGACTGAGTACAATTTAACAAACTTAACAGGTAACAGTTTAATGTCAAATGTGCTATACATTTTATTTCCCCCCCTTGTGCTTGAACAGTTCACGTTTGCTCCTGTACCATACATTGTGCCCACTTTCTCTGATATAAATAATTATTACAATAATAGAAAGCGGTTAGGATACTCCCAGATATCTGAGCTGTACAGATACACTCAAAGGAGTGGCAAGATTATAGAGCATTTTACTCTTCGATTGATCATATTTTCAACATTTAAATATCTTCAACTCAAAATTCAGAAGCAGGTCATCTTTAAAGATGAGTTAATTACACATCTTTATATATAATTGATTTTTCAAATGAGTTCTCTGGTATACTGTTACAGCCCCAAACCAAAATGCAATAATGGAAGAAGTATTTGATGTTGCCTAAACAATCATCCATTATCTACTCAAGTTCTCGGGCTAGTTTTCTGATACAAAGTCAGTCCCAGCCAAAGTTCTGTTCAGTCATCTGATAAAATTTCATGTTGTAAGGTCTATAAAAAGCTTGAAGGTGCCTCAAAAGTTCTTTGTCAATATTAGGGTGCAGCCGACCTTTGGATTTGCCCAAGCACCTTGGCATGCTACTACTACTACCATTTGGTTTCTTCAAGCAGGGAAAACCCTTAGTTTCATTAAAATGGAAATGTTTATCTGTGATTATTCTCTTGAGTCCTAGAAAATCCTGAACACGTCCCATCTCCTCCGATGGGTTACTGACCAGCTTTTCTCCACTGACAAAGAGGAATTTAGAAAGGGGGAAATACTGAAGCCAGTTTTCCAAATGTTTGGCATAGATCCCAATGCGGATGGCACTCCATGAAGTGTTGATTGTCCCTGTGCTTATGTTTTTAAATGCTAATGCTTCGAAACTGGACAAGTTCTGATTTTTAGACAGTGTCTGTGTATAGTCAGAGATGGCTCTGGTCACTGGGTCTCTGACTACTACGATAAGCTTGGTATCCTTGGACATGTTGTAAATCCGTTTTGGAACCTCAGTGGTAACAAAGTAACTTGGTGTCTTCTCCATGGTAATTTGTCCCCCTAGAGTCCGTGGCATTAAATTCCTGTAGAAATGAGAAATGGAAATATAATAAGTCTATTACAGCAATGATTTACTTTCCACACTAAAATCTTATTAAGTATCCTACATGCACATTATGCTACTTAGTATCATCAACGACTCACTACCACTACAGCTATTGTTTGCATAATCTATGGTAAAAACAAAAGTTTAGCAATACATTTAGTGTTTATTCACTACACTAACTAATGGTTGATAATGGTAATAATAATTAACAAACATTAA